TGTAGAACAATTTGGTAACAAAGACAAAATGGGCAAATAAGCTAGCTAATAAGTAGGGTACCATGAGCATTCCTTCCATCACAGGCTCAATTTATATCTAATGTGCTTATTTTTGTCAATTATTGCAAAAAATATTACCATGTTGGAAACTTAAATTAAATGTTTACATAGTATTTTGTTATCCTAAATAGAGCGAACTTACCAATTGTCCCAAATCAGACACAAATCAACGGTCACAATCAATCCCAATGCCGAATAAAGCTTCGGAAACCTAAATTTAAATAAACAACCTTTCTCATATTTTCTAACAAGTATTTCTTATTAATTGCTCCCCCAATATAGTAGGCATGCCCCCATTTGATTACTCTCTCTGCTAAAATGGACAATGCAGTTGACAACTTGCAATCAAACTACTCTAATATCCATAACTAACCAGTAAAAGCATTTAAATAGACAAAATTATGTGACTATATCATCGCAGAAATAGTTTCATAATAAAAAATGTAATATTTTACTATGCATTCCTACAAACAATAATGGCTAGCCAAATTTGTCTATTAATAAATCCGCAAAATTTAGAACTCGGCTATTTTGAGTCAAAGAAAGTTTTAATTATACTCATTTTCAAATTATCAAGGTGTGGTTGTTGAATCTTGATATCTTTAAATTTACTAGCCATAGACAAATTTATGAAACATATAGTGCTAGCAAACCGATTTGGCAAACATGATCATCATAATTCACCGAACTCATGCAAAGGTTAGGAGGTACTTCCTCTGTCTCAAAATAAGTGACTCAACTTTGTACCAACTTTGTACTTATAACCTTCCTTTTGTACCATTTGCTCTAAACTAGCTGGTCGAGAATACGAGAGCAAGCTAGACGACCAAGCGAGAGCATACCGGTGCTTCCAGGAGTTTCGACCATTTCCGTTTTGGTGTTTCTAAGTTCTACTTGATGAAGGTGGGCCAGGGATGACATACACACAGACGGTGACCCACCGAGAGGCCGTTCAAAACAGGCCGCGAACTGAATTTCCTCCTTCCTCCCATCTCTATTTATAGGGCCCAAAAGCTCACACACACCACACTAATCACCATCACCATCGTCTTCTCCACGCCCCGACCCCGAGACACGCTAGCGTGCAGCGCCGAGGCAGCTGGTTCCACTCTCACCGAGCAAGCGAAGAGCTCCTTCCTGAAAGTGAAATGGCGCGGCCACAGCAGCGGTACCGCGGCGTGCGGCAGCGCCACTGGGGCTCCTGGGTCTCCGAGATCCGCCACCCCCTCCTGTACGTCGTCGTCGTCCAAAGCCTTGGTGGTTGCTCTGGATCGATCGATTTTCTTGGCGTGGCCTGACCATGGCGGTTTTCTTTCTTGCAGCAAGACGAGGATCTGGCTGGGCACCTTCGAGACGGCGGAGGACGCGGCTCGCGCCTACGACGAGGCGGCGCGCATCATGTGCGGTCCGCGCGTGCGCACCAACTTCCCCGATAACGACGCCGCCCCGTCGTCGTCGTTCCTCTCCCCGGCGCTGGTCGCCAGGCTCCACCGCTTCAACGTGGTGTGCGGCTCGCAGGCTGGGCAGCACCAGGACAAGGACGCCTCGTCGTCCGTGGAGCCGCGCGCGCCGCCGACGCCGTTCGCCGGCTACACGGGCAATGCCAGCGCGCCGTCGGCGGCGGCCTCGGCGGCCGGGTGGAGCGGGGGGTTCCTGGAGGAGCAGTACGTGGAACAGATGATCGAGGAGCTGCTGGATTCCAACTTCTCCATGGAGATCTCCTACTAGCTCCGCCTCCGCACATGCTCTGTTCCCGTGCCTTGCGCTTGCTCTGCTTCCGCTCCATTTCTCTGTCTCTCCGTGTGTGTGTGTGTGGGTCTGTTTTTAGTTTAGCATAAGCTGTGTCGGGAAGAACTCGAGGTTAGTATGGTCATCACCCGAGGTCTCCAACAGCTTTGTGTATACAGTAGCTTCGTTAGAGCACATTTCTTCATTCTTGTATTACTATTGATGTCTTGAGTCTTGATGATGCCCTAATCAGTGTCCTCTGTTTCGATCTTCATCTTAAGCCCTGTTGACACATTTTCTTTGACAGAGAGCTTTCACTCTGGCATTTCCCAATTTTGCGAACCAATTTTCACTCTGGCTAGCCTTTGCACATGGTTAATTAGAAAATTTTAGCACACATAACTCATCAACCACAAACTAAGCTCACCTTGTTCAGCGAACAGTTTTGTACTCTTTTAAGTACGTGTTTTCTTCGGGCGAATCTCCCATTTAAGTACGGCAATGGACATACATTTTTCATTTGCAAAAGGAACAAAATACACACTTTTCATAGTACATAAATGCTTCATGTACTCCCTCCATCCATGTTTATTAGACCCCCTCATATTTTGGGTCAAACTTCCACCATCTCTATGACTAACAAAATATAAGATACATGCTATAAAAAGTATACTGTTGAATTTGTATTCAAAATATAGTTCCCTCATATAATTTTTTATGACATATATTTTATCTTTTTAGTATAAGTTATGGTCAAAATTATGGTCAAAATTGGAGGACCCAAAATAAAAGGATCCCAATAAACCCTCCCTCATGGAGTACTGTGTATTACTAGAAGGGCCAAGTTAAACAAGATTACAAGTTATTCTTCCCAACCATTCCTCTCCCAACCCTAAGAGAGACCATCTCAGGATGCGCATCTCCACAACTTCTTCTCTGCTAGTGGGTCATCACCCTGTCCTCCTGTGGCTCTGCTTATGTGGGAGTGCAAGGATGCCTCGATCTACCGGGTGGACTTGTAGATTTCATGGATTTGTTCTTTTAATTAGGTAGGTCGATATTGCCCGCTGCATCGACCCTTCTGGCATGGTAGTGGCGACGCCAAATAAAGTCTACTCCAGCCGCATGTCATTGGTCATGGAGGTGGCATTGGCTCCTCGTTCAATTGAAGGGGGGATGAGGAGCACGTTGGCCCCGTCGACCCAGCTGCCCCCTCGTCCGGGTGAGCGACAACGTCGCTGTCGCGGCCCAACAGAAAGGGGAGGTGGAGCCCGAGGACCCAGTCCTCACAGTGCTCGAGCTCACCACCCTCCAAGCTCACAATGAGGCGTGAATCATCTTTCTGCACTCACCAACGAGGAGGAGCAGTGGCAGCTCATGGCTGCTGCACGTGAGTCGGACCCCTACGCCTCGATGGAGGATATTTCGACGTGGGGGAGGAGGATGATGACCAACGTGAAGGGCGGCGACTAGACATCGCACACCACCTAGTAATGTAGGTAGTCTAGGTAGCAATGTCACTCGAGTAGCGGCATTGCTTATTTTAAATGTCGTTTAACAACATTTGAAGTTGCTAATTATATGTAAGGCTGCCCGTAATGAGAGTATCATGCCAACAAGGCAATTTTAATAAGGTGTCATATAATTAAATTAAGAAAAAGAGGACTAAGTATGATATAGCGTATCATAATAAATGATATAATACATACATTTTGCATATTAATAAATAAAGCCATCTATGATACTCCCTCCGTCCGAAAACTCCCTCCGTCCGAAAATACTTGTCATCAAAATGGATAAAAAGGGATGTATCTGGAACTAAAATACGTCTAGATACATCTTCTTTTATTCATTTTGATGACAAGTATTTCCGGACGGAGAAAGTATTTATCTATGATATTATGCATTACAGAGGTAATATCATATGCATGATTTATGATACTACGAGCAGCCTAATGCGACGGATATTGACCACCATTATAGCTTCATTATATTTCTATTAATTTATCATGATGAAACATGCACTTGGTATGTATCATCTGAACTTATATTGCCCCTGCATTTTTGAATAAAATAATAGATAATCCAAAAAAAATGAAGGGCACATTACGAAGGCTCTTCGTACACCTGTCGCGGCTTCTATATTCATACGGAGCGTTTCATAGGATGAATGGCGATCATAGATATGAGGAATCTGATCGAGTTGCTCCGACTAGCTGAAGTCCTGAAGATGCAAACAACATTGCACGACGCAGTACATATCCCGCGTATAAGCCGAGACTTATTAGCCATGAAGTGGTGGTACGAGCAAGCCGACCTCTCGCCCCGCGAGCAGACCAAATTGCAGAGTGCTACACGGCTACGAATCTCGGCACCCGACGTACGCAGCAGGTGCGAGCACTTATGACCTGACCTGCGTGCGGAGCAGAGCACAGGGGCGACACGCGCTGGGTACGCACCCTGTACTACCCAGCACTGAACAAGCCGGATTCGCTCGCTCGCTCGCTGCGCCATTGGCAGCGGCCGATCCGTGGATCAGAAAATCTCGGTCGATTCAGGTAGGTAGGTGCCGGGGTAATTGCCGGGCCTCTGCGCCCGCGCGCGTCACCGATGACATTGGCGCTGACGGCGGCCGAGCAGCCGAGGGAGAACTGGTCTGGGTCTGCATTGGTTTGGTGCATACAGTCTTCTCGTGCTCGTCGTGTCATGTGGCAGGCACATGCACGCGCCCGCCCGGCCCTGGTCTGGAGGACCGGAGACGGAGAAGAACCGAGTATGGCAAGGGGAGGGGAACGAGAGCGGAGGGAGGGCCGAGTCCACTCACGTCAGCTGCTGCGTTTCTCCACCCTCGTGCGGCGCTGCAGCCTGCAGCTGGGGCATGCACATGGAGGCCGGACGTCGCGCGCCCCGACCGATGTGTTGTGTGGACACGGTAGTCCGTTCAGAAATCAGAACATCGTGTTGAAATCTCGGCGTTTGGTGGGGTTGAAATGGGTGAGGCTATCTGTCAGTCGACTGACACCAAAAACGGGTCAGTCAATTGGCAAAAAAAAAAAAAATCAACTAACAAGGCATAGGAAAATGACTGACACAAAATAGGGGCCAGTCAACAAAGCCCAACAACGCAGAAAAACTTCTGAGTATGTTGTTTCTGCCATCTGCATTCAGCCCAAAATCTAACGCACTACACAACATCCATCTAACGCACAGCACTAGGTCTTCTTCCTTCCTTTCCCTTCCTCGACATCGCACGACTCAACCGCTGCCATGGACGCTGGAACAAACCTCAGATCTGTTCTGACCTCTCTGTAGTTCTTCTGCTCACATTTCTTCCTTCCAAAGTCCTTCTCCAGTCGGCCAAACATCCACTACAGAAAAACTGGAAAAGTGGATGAGTTCTCATTTTTCACAGATCTGTCAAGAAGGACAAAACGGAGAAAAGAAAAAAGGGGAGAGAAGAACCTGCTTCAGGTGCCAGAACTAGGTTGTTAAAGCAGAATACCACCCAGAAAATCAAAAAATTATATAAACAATGCGTGCCAGAACTACGTAGTTATGTACTTATTTATCTATAGCTATAGCAGAACACCTCCCAAAAATCAAAAAATTATATACAAAAATGAGTGACAGAACTATGTAGTTATGTACTTACTTATCTACAGCTATAGCATAACACCACCCAGAAATCAAAAAATTATACCTAAAATTGCGTGCCAGAGCGCCTACCTTTGATTTTTTTTTTCATTGAAACATCTGGCAGATATAAAAAATTACACTAGTTGAATTTAAAAAACTCTGTTGAAACAAGTATATTCAGACAACTAAACTTCCTCCTATGGAATATGCTGGTGTAATATATGCATGGATGTAGTTGGGTGAAATTTGTTAAAATTGTTGCAAAACTACAGTTACAAGAATACACCACCCAGATATCATAAACTTATATAGAATGCATGCACAAAAGGTTAAACCAGAACTATTTAGTTCTCTAGTTGTTTATCTACAGTTAAACCAGAACACCTCCTAGAAATCAGAAATTTATATGAAAAATTGCTTGCTCAAAATTAAACCACACTATGAAGTTACGTAGTTTTGAAGCTACAGTCAAACCAGAACACCTCCCAGATATCATAAAACAAAAAAAATGCATACACAAAAAAAACCCTACAAAAATACGATACTTATTACACAAGTGCAAATTAAGTGTAGTTCAAAACTTGCAGTTCTTGTGCGTGAACCAACAAAGGAAAAAAATAAAGTATAGGACCTGAATTTTCTACTGCCAAACTACAAGAACTTTTAGATTTCAACTACAATTTTCAGACATAAATTCATTGTGCTAACTGAATTACCACTTTGAGCCAAATGTACAAGCACAAGACAATTTGCAGCAAGGATATTATCACAATACAACTCCAGATTACAATTTGCAACACGGAGACTTGAAGAGAACCTCCATCATAATACAACTCCAGATTACAATTTGCATCCTCATCAAACAAAAATTGCACACATTTTACAACGGCAAAAAATGCACAAACCATCATTATGAGTACAGGAAACTAATACCTAAAATGCACAAACCTTCATTATGAGGCAATATACTAGTGCGTAGTAAATACCTACAATGACAAACTTGCATCCTCGTCATACTTAAATTGCACACATTTTATATAAAAACCTCCATCATAATACAAACTACAATTAAAAGTTGCACAGTCATAATTCTAAACTTGCAGACTAAGTACAGCAGCATAAAAATATTCTAACATCAAAAGCATCAGGATCTACTTACGCAAAATTGTAAAAATTGCACACATTCTACAACTGAAAAATATCCATAAAAAGCCTATGATATATCCTAGTTATAGAAATACAGAAATAAAGAACGTATAACTACACATTAGTGATTGCGAGCAGGTATAATGATATACACAAAAAGGAATTCAATCTACATGAAAAATAACATAATATATAACTCAATCCTTAATTTTACTTATACTAGTGAGGATTCATCAAATATCAACTGGGATATTGGCATTGAAGACAACATATATACATTCACATCTAAAAAAAATAAAATCAACCTATATAAGATACTTGCATGACCATCATACTGAAATTACACAGAATTTAGAACAGCAAAAGAGAAGATTCATGATAGACTACGTTAGTAACTACTAGGATATACTAAATGCCTAAAAAAATGCACACAATTCAGTATGAGTTCAAACAGCCTAATTCCTAAAAATCAAAAAAGCTGCAATTACAAACTAGCATACTCGCTGAACTAAAAATGCACACATTAAACAAAAGCAAGAAGACTAAAACTAGCCTACAATATACAGTGTATTATATCAAAAAAGATACAAATACAGTAGTAAACTCATTCAATTTAATTCAGCCTTGATGATAAAATATATACATTCACACAATTAGGATAGACACAGCCCATACTTGCACAAGCTTCATGAGAGCAGTGGAGAAACACACAGACTGGAAAGTAGAGAATTAAAGACTTCTTGCACACATTTTATATGCACACAACCGTACTTGACAGGAATTCATGAGAGCACTCAAAAAGCATACATACTGATATGTACATAGTTAAAGATTTCTTGTAAAAGAAAATATAAAGTACAACTCACCATCCTCCTAAAGCAGTCCTCATCAAGCAGAACATCGAAAACTTCAGGAACTTCTTGATTTGCCGCAAATGGTACACAAGGGGCACCCAGGCAATGACAAATGGGGCAAACCATGTCTACAGGGGAAAGAAAACAACAAAAATATTGAATAAAAAAAGAAAAAAATTACATAATTAAACAAAAGAGAATAAACAGGAAGGACAACCTAAATTGACTATAGGAAATAAACACTCTCAAATCTGATTATAAACTCACAGAAAAAGAATTCACTAAATCTAAATTGGAAACTTACAAAAAATAAATAATGTATAACTACACACTAGTGATTGCGAGCAGGTATATTGATATAAACAATAAGGAATTCAATCTACATGAAAAATAACATAATATATAACTCAGTTCTTAATTTTACTAATACTAGTGTGGATTCATCAAATATCAACTGGGATATTGGCATTGAAGACAATATATATATATATATATATATATATATATATATATATATATACACATTCACATCTTAAAAAAAATCAAATCAACATATATAAGATACTTGCATGTTCATCGTACTGAAATTACACAGAATTTAGAACAGCAAAAATAAGATTCATGATAGACTACATTAGTAACTATCTAGGATATACTAAATGCCTAAAAAAATGCACACAATTGAGTATGAGTACAAACAGCCTAATTCCTAAAAATAAAAAAAGCTACAATTACAAACTTGCATACTCATTGTACAAAAAATGCACACATTAAACAAAAGCAAGAACACTAAAACTAGCCTACAATATACAGTGTAATATATCAAAAAAGCTATAGATGCAGTAGTAAAATCATTGAATTTAAATCAGCCTTGATGATAAATATATATACATTCACATAATTAGGATAGACACAGCCCAAAAAAAAACCTGCCTAATCTTTACTAAATGTTAACATATTACATCTCCCGAAAACCTAAACTTCCAGAAATTCCTCATCAAGCAAAAGTGTAAGAAAAAAAATCATTGACACCATAGCAACGGCAGATCCTACAGCAACCAAAACACCCGACTGTGAAGACCTGCAAACACCATAAAAAACACAGAGAAGCACCCAGGTGAGCAGATCTAGCAAAGTTAGGCGCATGAGGGGACTAAAGAGAAAAGAGCAAGATGAACTAAGGCAAAGGATGCAGCAGACAAAAATACCTGGAAAAAAATAAGATGCCAGGAAATCCAATCCAACAGCAACCAAATCGCCCGATTAGAAACACCTGCAAGCACCAAAGATAACCATGGAGAAGCACCTAAGTTAGCAGATCTATCAAAGAAACAAGAAGCTCCAGCATATAAAGGAGCAGATTAAGCAGAGGGAGAAGACCTAGCAACAAACCCCAAGAACCCTAGCTCATGACAGGAAGAGGAAGAACAGAAGCCATGGACTGAAGCAGTAGGAGCAGATGAGGCAGTGGGAGAAGATCTAGCAACTAACCCCACGAACCCCAGCTCGCGACAGGAAGAGGATGAGCAGAGGACATTGACTGAAACAGAGAGAGGAGCGAGTGACTGACAGAAGATGAGGAGGAAGAGGATAAGATGAGAGGGGCAGCGACTATCCACGTTCCGCAGAAATGGGCCGGGCTTTCTTAATGAGTGGGCACGAGATGGACACCACCCGCCAGCTCCACGAGCCCAGCAAAAAACGAGCCAACTGACGCAAAACACACACCAGTCGATCCTGCAAAGGCTCAAAATAACAGCACAAAGCACCGCTGGGAAAAAAAGAAAGCACGCATCTCAAAGGAAGATCCAAAGGAACAGAATTCGACTAACGCAACTCAGCTGACTGAAAAGTAGCTAAATCGGGTTGAAATAATGAAAGCCTTTTGCAAAAAAAGAAAAGAAAAACAAAACAACATAAGCCCATAAGTTATGGGGCCGTGGGGACCGGATCAATATGCGACCCTATTCTAAAGGAACTCGAAGGTCCCACCAAGGATAGAAGCGCATATTAGAGACGCTTTTGCAAGGTGGATATCATTACATCGTACCATTACATAATAGTTGGGGATACATACAAGAGGCATACAATGCCACATGAATACAACAACATCACAATACATACGAGCAACATCCGACTATGGATGAACACAAACAGAAACTCAAACGACATCCACCCTGCTAGCCCAGGCTGCCGATCAGGAACCTATCCCCTGATCGAAGAAGAAGCAGAAGAAGAAATCCAAAACAAGTAACATCGCTCTCGCGTCAAGATTATCGCATAACCTGTACCTGCAACTGTTGTTGTAATGTGAGCCACGGGGACTCAGCAATCCCATTACCATGGGTATCAAGACTAGCAAAGCTTAAAGGGAATGGAATGGTTAAGTGGTGAGGTTGCAGCAGTGACTAAGCATAATATGGTGGCTAACATACGCAAATAAGAGCGAGAAGAGAAGCAAGCGGAACAATCGAGAAGTTAGAAGTGATCAAGAAGTGATCCTGAAACTACTTACGTTCATACATAACCCAAAACCGTGTTCACTTCCCGGACTCCGCCAAAAAGAGACCATCACGGCTACACACGCGGTTGATGCGTTTTAATTCGAATCTGGTGTCAAGTTCTCTACAACCGGACATTAACAAATTCCCATCTACCACATAACCGCAGGCACGGCTTTCGAAAGTTTAAACCCTGCAGGGGTGTCCCAACTTAGCCCATCACAAGTTCTCACGGTCAATGAAGGATATTCTTTCTCCCAGGAAGACCCGATTAGACTCGAAATCCCGGTTACAAGACATTTCGACAATTGTAAAACAAGACCAGCAAAGCTGCCCGATGTGCCAACAAATCCCGATAGGAGTCGCACGTACCTCGTTCTCAGGGCACAGCGGATAAGTCAAGCTACGAGTAAAACCATCCCTCAAGTTTCCCCGAGGTGGCCCCACAGGCTGCTCGGTTCGGACCAACACTCGAAGGAGCACTGGCCCGGGGGGGGGGGAGGGGATTAAATAAAGATGACGCTCGGGCTCCGGAAACCCAAGGGAAAAAGGCTTAGGTAGGCAAATGGTAAAACCAAGGTTGGGCCTTGCTGGAGGAGTTTTATTCAAAGCAAACTGTCAAGAGGGTCCCATAAATCACCCAACCGCGTAAGGAACCCAAAATCAAGGAACATAACACCGGTACGACGGAAACTAGGGCGGCAAGAGTGGAACAAAACACCAGGCATAAGGCCGAGCCTTCCACCCTTTACCAAGTATATAGATGCATTAATTAAATAAGAGATATTGTGATATCCCAACATAATTCTGTCCATCATGGAGCAATCTCCAACTTCACCTGCAACTAACAACGCTATAAGAGGGGCTGAGCGAAGCGGTAACATAGTCAACAGAACGGTTTGCTAGGAAGGGTGAAAAAGGTTAAAGGCTGACATGGCAAATTAGGAGGCTTGATAAGCAAGAGAATAGGTAGCGCAGCATAGTGATGGAACGACTCAACTAGCATAGCAATGATAGTAGTGAGATCCAGAGTAACGGTCATCTTGCCTGAAATCCCGCTAGGAAGAAGAACGAGTCCATGAAGAAGATGAAGCCACGAATACGAACCAAGCATAGACGAATGAATCCTCACGATCGCAATGAAACAGGAACTAACGAGAAGGAGCACAACCGGAAAGAAGCAAACACCACGGTAAACACACAACACATAGACATGGCATGATGCTCAACCAAGTATGATGCAAGCCAGGGCATATAGTAAGCTACTCATGGCAAGAGATGATGGATACAAGAACAACACATCAAAGCAAGTTTAAATGAGGCCGGGAACAACATGTAACAATTCCGGTAAGTCCTCATATGCAAATTTTGAAATCGGTCCAAATCTGAATGAACCTTATGTTCAAGTTGTTAAATAGCAAGTTAAGATGCACCAAGATGATCTACATGAAATTCTAGTCAAGTTACATATAAAGTTCATTTAGTTCGGAGCTACGACCTAGAAAATATGAGCAAAACAAGTTAAACATGCCATTGATGCAAAAGACATTCAAACATCAATCAAACACACTCAAAATATGGATGCAACAAGGTAAGATGAAACTACATGAAATTCTAAGCAAGTTTCATATAGAGCACTGATACTGTTGGAAATATGCCCTAGAGGCAATAATAAAATGGTTATTATCATATTTCCTTGTTTATGATAATTATTTATTATCCATGCTAGAATTGTATTGATAGGAAACTCAGATACATGTGTGGATACATAGACAACATCATGTCCCTAGTAAGCCTCTAGTTGACTAGCTCGTTGATCAATAGATGGTTACGGTTTCCTGACCATGGACATTGGATGTCGTTGATAACGGGATCACATCATTAGGAGAATGATGTGATGGACAAGACCCAATCCTAAGCCTAGCACAAGATCATGTAGTTCATATGCTAAAGCTTTTCTAAATGTCAAGTATCTTTTCCTTAGACCATGAGATTGTGCAACTCCCGGACACCGTAGAAATGCTTTGGGTGTGCCAAACATCACAACGTAACTAGGTGGCTATAAAGGTGCACTACGGGTATCTCCGAAAGTGTCTGTTGGGTTGGCACGAATCGAGACTGGGATTTGTCACTCCGTGTGACGGAGAGGTATCTCTGGGCCCACTCGGTAGGACATCATCATAATCTGCACAATGTGATCAAGGAGTTGATCACGGGATGATGTGTTACGGAATGAGTAAAGAGACTTGCTGGTAACGAGATTGAACAAGGTATCGGCATACCAACGATCGAATCTCGGGCAAGTACTATACCGGTAGACAAAGGGAATTGTATACGGGATTGATTGAATCCTTGACATCGTGGTTCATCCAATGAGATCATCGTGGAACATGTGGGAGCCAATATGGATATCCAGATCCCGCTGTTGGTTATTGGCCGGAGAGTTGTCTCAGTCATGTCTGCATGGTTCCCGAACCCGTAGGATCTACACACTTAAGGTTCGATGACGCTAGGGTTATAGGGAATAGATATATGTGGTTACCGAATGTTGTTCGGAGTCCCAGATGAGATCTCGGACGTCACGATGAGTTCTGGAATGGTCCGGAGGTAAAGATTTATATATGG